CCGTTTGTTTTAAAAGACATGAAGCCTGATAAGAAGTCTATTGAGGGGAAAGGAAAGACATTCATTTGTTCTATATGCTTTGGATGAGACCAATAATTAGTTTGCTATAGTTTGTAAATTTATCTGCAGACTAATAGGAAATAGATTTAAGGTTGGACTTTCAGGGCACGGAGCATTAGCTTCTGTTCTTGTTCAAACAGAGACTAAAACTCTCTAATTACTTGAGAAAATCTCACCTTTAAGAAAAAAACCAACACATTTGTCTTAATCTTCTAATGGAGTAAGAACAAAGAGTGACATTTCTGTTCTCTCTCACAAAATCAAACTTAGTCTTCCTTAGTGCATTACTCTGCCTGCACCTCCTGCAGATGCAAAAGAGGAAGATTTTTCTAATGGAATATTTCTTTGAAATGTCCACATTAAGCTTGGGTTATGATTGAAGTTTGTCCATAAACTGCTCTCCCTTTAAAATTCTGTGCCATAAACTGTTTAATGATTTTGTCCAGTTGCATTTCTCTATGACATAAGAACTGTTCTCATTTTCATTACAAAGGAATAAACAGCATTTACCACACAGTAAATATGAACAAAGAATAAAGCAACAGAATTCTGTTTTTCTTGAGACCAAAATATAAACCAAGAATGAGAAAAAAAATGGGGAAAAAAGGTGGAAATAGCAACTGTCTGAGCAGTAAGGAATGGTCTTCTAAGCATTCTACTTTCACTTTTCCTTCTTAGTTTTTATTGCTGGCTTGCTCTCCGAATTTGAAGGTGAAGGCCTCTTTGCAAAATGCCAGTCTTATTCTCCTTTTTAATTGTCTATAATTAAACCATTAACATTAGATCACTAAACTCCCCAAAATCACTAAACTCTCAATAAGCTGAATTCATGGTGTCTAGAAACCTGAGGAAATCCCTTGTGGGACAGACAAGTTGAAAAAATCCAAATTCAATTTAAATTCAAATAAAAACCAGTAACACTTGTCTCTCTGAGGCCATTTCTGTTTGTCTGTGGAAGGACTTAGCAGACCTACAGATCATCTACTGCCATTCTGCAAGTGAGAAAGGTACTAGACTATAGTCAGTATATATATGTGTGTGTATTTTCAAGTGGTGGGAACATCAAGTTTATTCAGATGGTAAAAAATTTTAACAAACATGTCCCTGAAGTCACAAGGATACACAGATCCTTCTCATCAGGTACTGTATTAGTGATGCTTCCCTCTCCTGAAATAACTCAAGAACTCTTTCCTCTTTCTTAATCCTAAGAGAGTTTCTCAAAAATCACAGGAATGTGTTCACAAAGGTGGAAAGGATGATTCACACCATACTCTGGGTAACATTGCTTTTTCAGCATATCCCCCCATCACTCTGAAAGCACTGCATACCCAGGACTATCCTCTCCCCAGGGAAACCACAAACAATTGCCAACATCGACTCAATTCTCTCCTCGGATCCACACACTGATGTCAGTGCTGGACAAAAAACTACACTCAGTTGAGAGCAGAGCTAAGGTAAAGCTAGAATATAAGCACCTAAGATGACTTTCAGGATCTCCTGATTATAGGAGCTTCACCTGGTAGTTTTATTTACATTTGTATAATTTTTTTTTCCTATATGTGAATGAAATGTCATCATTCTTAGGGGCATTAGGAAGAAAAAATAGCAAAGCAATGTTAACTGATGTCATTGCTGATAAACTTGAGATTACATTTTGTACCTAAATATTTGTTTGATAATGTAGGCTGTTAGTAGAATGTCTTTCATAGAGGTAACCTCTCTTTTATCTACAATCAGAAAATAATCCCTCTGCACCAAATGGCTTTTAGTGTACTTTAAAAAAATGCATGTGTTAAGAGATGACACAAGTAAACCACTAACCAACCTCAAATTAAACTCAGCATCTAAACCTTATCATTCTCACCTTTCCTATAAATCTTTTTTGAGAGTACAGTGTTTTGTTTAAAATAAAGGTAACTGAAGGGAACGAAGAAAGCAAAAAATACTTTAATCCTTTATCTGAAAACAACTCTTAGGTAACTTCAAAGATACCCAAAAGGCATAACATTTTTGCATCACAAGCAGCTAACAAAGAGCTTTTCTTTAGAATTTGCTAATATTACTAACTGTATTGAAGAGTAACTTCTAGGAAGTATGGAGCATTGGACAGACAAATTTGTTTCATGAAAATGAAACTGTTCTTGTGGACTTTCCAGAGGAGCTCCAGATTAAATGCTTTTGTGAAAACTTTGTCTCTTCTATTCAAAACAATAGTCAATTGTATAAAATTATTGTATAAAACAATTGTATAAAATTATTTGGTCCTTGACATCTCAGCTGTGACACCTGAAGAGACTCACTTTCATGCAATGTGAATAGTTGGACTGAATAAGTAAAAGTACTTAAGTTCTTAAAGAACTGAGACTGCAAGACAAGTTCTCAAAGGCAACATCTGACAAATATTTAATCTGAAAATTCACTTTGTTAAATAGTAGATGCAACAAAGGTAAATGTATTATCAACATCTCTCCCATAATAAAAGAACTGCCCTACAAGTACAATGTTTTCCAGCAGTCTTTGCAATTGTACATTAATATCCATTGCTAAACTGGTGCAAATAACAAGCTCCAGCATGACATGTTGGTTGTAAAGGAGAAGTCTTTCTACATGTCTACTTTCTTGAGCCTGGGAAAATTATTTCCAAAACAATCAATAAATCACCACAACATGATAAAAATGAAAATTCTCATACTATACTTTTAATGTGAAAAAAATATCTACATCAGAAAATGACAGCTGTCATCTTCATCTGCAGTCACACATTTGCAAGGGTTTCTTGCTGCCATCCACACTCTATAGCCACGACAACAACCGGAGGCACAGACGTGTCAACAGACTTCCCATGGAAACAAGGTTCCCAGGGCCACTTCCATTTTCAATTTAGTTGTTTCACTGAGCTCAAAGTGTGTCTGCATAAAGAATTAGAATAGTTGTGCATACTCATGGGTCTATACCAATTTTAGGAATATGAACTAAGCTTCAAAACAACAGAAGAATGCAAAGAAAAGGCTGAATTTGCTTGGAGACTGAATTCTTTGCTGCTTGACCTGAGCAGACCAAGACTAAATGAGCAAATGAATTGTTCAGAGACAGCTCCCAGATACAGTCTAGATACTGAAACCAACTATGAAACTTTACTCAACACAATTCACACTTCTGGCTCTTGCTGATGTATAAATGCAGTTTTTCTCACCCAGAATGCAATTCAACTGTAAAGTAAATGTGATTACTACCACAGGAGCCATGAAGCAAAGCAGAAGTAGGACAGGTATAGTATATTAAGAAAACCTGTCTCCAGCAGAATGATTGAGCTCTTTCTGTGCGGGGAATAAAATGATCCTTACAAACTTCACATACAGTTCAAGTTTCAATTCTAACAATTGTATTTTTATAACAAGCAACCAAGGATAAGGAATAGTTTGCTGCTCAAAAACAAAATCTAGACTATGATCTTTCTCATGCTTATAATTACTTGTATATTATGCTTTTACATAGGGAACAGATCTGCATCATTCTCCTGTACTGTTTATGTCTTCAGAGTGTTTGGTCATTTGCACTTCACAGTGTCCAGCTGTCAAGCAACATCAAGGTGTTCATACAACCAGCTGCATTAGAAAATTAACACCATTCTAATTTAAATATGTAGTTGGTACCTCAGGTCTTCCAAAGAGGTTTATAAACACCCACCTTGCCACTCCATCTCTACCTCCCTAAACTAATAATGACCACATATATCTAATTCTATAATGATTCTCTGCTGTCCAGAACCTGGAGTGGGGAACAGACAGTTACTTTTCGAGTTTCAATTGATGTGTGTCCTCTTTCTTGTCTCAGGAGCCAAAAAAAGATCTTGAGCACTGGAAGCTCTCAACACCCACCGTGTGGCCTGAGCTCCACTGAACTTGAGCATAGGAACTGGTGGGTGGTGTGAATTAGATAGTGGTGTGTGGGAATCTTAAACAATTCTCAGCTTTCAAATTATTAAGTGCCTTTCTTTCAGTGGACATCAATAGTATCTCTTCTCTCATTTGTACAGGGTCTTAAGTCAGTTGCAAGTCTGCTTCAGAAAAAATGCTTATAAAGTGACTCATTCATATACATATCAAAATAAAAACCAGTGGCAATACATTCCTGCATGCATCAGTGAGTTAAGTAGCTGCCATTATGTAAGAAGATCTACTGAATTTGCTGCATATTTAGCTAAACTGACTTTTCTGGCCTTGTTAATAGACTTTAATTAAAAACATGTTAAGATCTAATTCAGTTCTAGTTTCAGTTATAAGCTGTAAAACATAATCCAAGATACTGATTAAAACAGCTTTCATATCATTTTTACACGTCCCATCTAATGTGCAATGATTTAAAACTCTTACTACTATAAAGTAATTTTATTCTGCAGTATGTTCTGATCTTATAGATTGCTTATTGGATGATTCACAATTTGGTGTCAAGCTGCAAAAATTGCTTTTAGTAAGGAATTGGTACCAAATCCAAGCACTGCAAGGCTGTGAAATACTATCAAGAATGTGATCACAGATCTAATAAAAACTTTCTTGAGATTTTCTTCAAAGGTACAGGATAGCATTTCTACTGTGAACGTACTCCAGTAGGAGACTTCTGTCATCTTCAGACTTGGTTTATGAGTCAAATCACTCTAGTGCATAGAAATCTATATATTAAAATACAGAACCTATCAGCTGGAGTCAGTTGCACTGTTTACAGCAGAGGAAAATTGGCAGGAAGCAGTATTTTATTTGAGACAATCAAACGGTATTCCAAAGGTATATTTCATATAAAATTTTGCAGAATATATATCATCCTTTCTCACTACAATCATGTAATCTTCAGAAAGTTACATCTTCTATAATCCGCAACCAAAGCTGGACAATGGATGTTACTGAAGTTTAACAACAAATTTAACAGCAGAATTCATATCCTACCTTTTATTAATGGCAGCCCACGACGCATTCATGTTATCTGTCATCAGCTGCACCTTCCTGGTGTCATCTGCCGAATAATCCCGGAGCAGCTTCAGTGCCATGTCATTTGCCACATCTACATTTATTTGCCATTGTCGTATTTCTTTTGAAAATTGCTGCAGTAAAAAGAGAAAGAAAGAATAAACCTCGGAGCAACACAAAATGGTATGACTACTATAGAAGGAGGTGATCAACTTACACCATCAATATGAAAATAAAAAAAGCAAGAAAAGCAAAAGGACTTGCACAGATTTACTGGTAATGAAGGTCAGTCTTTTGAAATGTTTTAAACTCTTTTAGTTGTAAGACCACAGGACTACTTCTAAACTCTGAGAGGACCAAGCAGCCAATTCCTAAATGCTGGGTAAGATATGACAGCTCAAACTGTTACACACTGATTGGAAATAGAGGAATGTGAAATAGATGGATGCATTATGTATTATGCAAACTACTATTATTTGTGATGTTGAACTACACTGAGATGGAAAATATGGTGAAATCATATGCTCTGTCTAATTTTCTTTTTCATACTGTGAGATAATACTGAGATTTGGACAATTAAGACCTGTGCTTTCAGGGTTTTTTTTTAAAAAAAAAAAAAGTTCATTTTCTTGAATTGTTTATGTAATTAGTGCCATCTACTGGAACAGCACTAAATCTGCAATACAGCAAAATACTACTTTATAATGCTAATTTACACTCTTAATACTAAGAAAGCTTTTTAAATCTTGATGATTCTTTGTTTTTCACTTTCCTCATGCTCATTGTCTTCTCCCCACCTAGGCCTGCTGCCTCCCTGGAGGAGCAGACAGGAATCCAGAGCACTCACTGAGCCAGCAGCCAGCTCTCTGCTTCTCTCCTGCTAGTCTTTTTCTCAGAGCAAATTTCCACATAAATGCACTGGAGCTGCATATTTAATCCATAATTTGTAATGACACAATGAAAGAGCAAAGATAATCAATTGTCTACTTCTACTTTTGTACTAGGCAGACTCCAGCTAGCCAGTAATATGGACAATGCTAGCAGGAAAAAAAGTTTGCATTTGTAAATGGAAATAGTAAGTTGCTTGTAAACATGTGAAGCTGTCAACAAAAAACAACCAGTAAAATCTGACCGTCTTTATTGTTGTGCTTTAACACAGAAATCAGGAAACAGCTGTGAGGGGAAAAAAAAAAAAAAAGCTTTTTTTCTCCTATTCTCCCAAATCAGTATTCCTTTTGAAACATTCCTTTTGTTTTGATTCAGATAAGGAATTCTCCACACAAAGCTGAACTTACATGTGTAATCCCTAATGAAAGAGTCGAAATACTAAGTAAAAATAAATAGATGTTGAATATTTTAATGCATTGATGTTTTAGCTTCAGCAGGTCTGTAAGTAGATTACGATGCAGACTGGGACCAAAATGTGCTTATCTCTGAATAGAGTCCAGATGGAATTTTGGGGGGGGTTGATTTTTCCCCAAAACTTTTACCTGTTAAAAAGCTGCTTCAACACCTGGGTCCTCTCCCTAACTGAAAACTGAAAACATGTATTGGCTCTGTTTCCTGTGTCATTCCTTCCTGAGAAGCAAATTCCTCAGCCACTGTCACCCTCAGGTGCTGACAAAACCTGGGTACCTGCTCTGAGCAAAGGGCTCTGTTCCTCCATCCAGTGTGAGGAGGAGGCCTGAAAGCCATCCCAACACATCATGGGCAAGCTCACTGAAGCTGAAGCTGCCCAAAGTATTTTTCATTCAGGGGAAGTCATTCCCCTTTATTAAGAAAGGAAACATAGTCAGGAGTGGTGAGGAGGACACAGGCAGGTGTCTGTTTTGGAAAGATTCCCAACTGGGCTCATTTCCTGCCAGAATTATAAACAATAAATACATAAATGGCAGTATTGACACAAATAAAATAATATAGAGAACACAAAATTTAAATAAACTCTAAAATCATTATAATTTCAGTTTTGTAAATCTTTTATAGCAAGTATCTATTCTACCTTTAGGTCTATCCATCTCTATGATGCTCGACCCTTCTCTTTGTTTAAAATTACACAGGCATGCAGGTACATTTTTTCCAGAGTACCACAGCAGACTGACTGTTCACTGTTTTACACAGAAAAGTTACCATAACATTTTGCCTGCACTGTAAATTAATGGCCTGTAAACTCTGAAAAGAAATTCTCTTTGCCCCATGTGAATATAAATGACCTTATAAAAGCTTTCAAACTCTATTTTATAATAAAAAAATGTAAAAAATTTTAAAAAAGGAGAAAGATCCATTACAAGGTTATTACCAAAAGTGTTGTTCTCACCATCAGCTTCAACATTAATCCATTAACTTCCTGACACTATCAACACTAGGTCATCAGTCAGGAAAGAAATGATGAATACAGAGAGCTGTGCTGAGGGAAACAATCTGTGGTTTCTGTTTTGCTGGAAATTGGGATGTGGTTCTCTAAGAACTCTGAGGAGTGCATGACTCAAGTTCCCTCTGTGTGCAGAGAATGAAGTGTGGTTCGTTTTACCTTCTGTCCCACGAGTCCCACTCATTGCCACCTCACCTGACTGCAACGAACACTTCAGACCTCAAGCCATGGCATTGTTCTAGTCCCCTCGTTGCCTTATGATATTTTTAGGCCTCGTTTATCTTTTAGCTGCTTAAGACCACACTTGTTTGTTTCTTTAAAGGAAAATGCTTCATTACCTTCATTTCTTTTGGACATTTTTTATAGCATTCTCTTTGCTTTGCCTGTGTTATCACTGGAATTGGCTGAGTTTATTAAAAGGCTTAAAGAATTAAGGCTGTGCATTTATCATGCTACTTAGGTATAAATTTGTTGATAATTTTTAATTAGAAGACACTAGTTGATGATATTAGGAAGTAAGTCTGTGTAATTAAGGATCCTTGATGAAACACAAGTAACAAAATTAGAGCTGGGCTTTCTTCTATCCTAGGATTGCCCAGTGGAACAAAATCAGTGATGCACAGTAGTTCAGATATAGCCACATGTATGTACAGCATCATTCAGTTCTGTTATATACCAGAAATCTGGAAAATCAGGCTGTCTTTTTTGCCCTCTTTCTGTAGATCTGTAGCATGTTTTATTTATATAATTAAAGAATTTATTTGCTTAATCAAGGAATTCTATTTCAGTGTCTGCATCATAGTCAATAACATTAACTTAATTGTTAATTGTTTTACTAAAATCAGAGCAGTACACTGTCAAGCCCTGGAATATTAAAAAAAACACAAAAAGCTGAGACTCTACTTCATTGTACTATTGTGCACTATTTATACACCTCTAACCTTCAGCCTGCAGTCATCACTTCATGAACAGTAACAAACAGGGCTGAATGGCAAAGACTCTCACTGGCCAGATTGCCATACTCTGATTCTCCACACCCAACACCAAGTTAGCTCTCAAATAGCAAAATAAAAAACGAGAATGAAAAAATGCTTTAATCCTCAGCAAATTAGCTCTGCATTAGTTTCTGATTTGAATGAGTAATATTGTAAATTCTTAGCTGTAGTACAGAAACAAAATGGTCAAATTCTATTAAAAACATCATTGCCCAAATACAAGACAGTTATAGATTTTTTGTTTATGCTGGCACTGTAAAACAATAAAGAATCAGAAGACTGTGGTTGCTGAGTTTACCATTTACTCATGTATAGGTATGGCCTAACAGAAATATCAACACAAGCAGCGATTAAAAGCTCCCTCAGAGCAGAGGGGAACACACACATTGACTCAGCTGTCTTTGGGTAGACTTAAACTGTTTAACAAGCAAATCAGAAGAACACTTGGTGACTCCTTTCTCATACCAAGCTGTGTTGAGATATAAAGCTGACAAAATTAATATGCCTGAAGAATTTATTTTGAGAACTTAACGTATTTCTAGGTCCTTCAGTTTAGATAATACTATACAGAAGAAACCATAAAGCTGCTAAAGTAAAAAAAAAATAATTCAATTTTCCTTAGAATTCATGACCCCTTATCTCAAGCATGAACACAATAGCTGATGCTGTCACATCTGAGAAACCTTCATGAGGGATTTGACACAACAGAAATTACAGGCAGACAAAGATAATTCCTCTAGGAAGTCTGGCACAAAACTGAAAAAAGACAAGGGAAAAAAGAGAAGACATCCCTCCCCCACCCTGCCAGTCCCCCACTCCCTGCTGTCTCTAAGACAGAGGGGAATTTCTTCTGGACTTGAGTGAGAAAGGCTAAGCAAAAGCAAAAAATGAAAGTAAACCAGGCTGGAAGAGTAGAGCCTGTGGATGGTCGTATCACCTTGAGGGCACAGGAAATGAAGATGGACAGGCTGTGACATTTAAATTATATTATAGATCAGCATTCATAACTTGACACAAGACATCACGTTCAGTCTGTGGTGGGAATGGCTGAGGATATGGATAGCCCAAGTGCTTATACAGAAAGAGGGAAAAGAATCTGCAGGTCTCCATTTAAAAACTCTGTTTATACACAGAGATATATTCCATGAATAAGTATCCTGGCATTCTTTCCCTGTACCTTTGGGGATGGAGGAGAACAGCAAGCTCTTACTTCTCTCCTTGGACAATGTTGATTGAAAAATCCCATAATTTTCTTAAAGAGCATACACTCTTGGATAGATCTCATCTAAACCTCATATATTCTTGTAAAAAATTGGACATAAAATCCATTTCTAAAGCAATATTTTCAATTATTTTCCTAGTTAAGTAATTTGTGTTCAAGACATAAGACACTCCACAACACAATGACATAAGACAGAACTGTTTTTTCTGTAATTGAGTCTTTGCAGAGCTGGGACATCGACTTTGTTGAAGCTTTTCTTTTTTTTTTTTTTTAAACAAACACTGGGCAGAAGCCAGGACTCTATCTCTGCAGGAAGACAGTGACAAACGGGAGTCCTCTGTGCTGAATGACAGTAGCACACATAATCTATAACTCTCTCCAGTGCATTAGTGAGTGATTGCCCTTGTTTACCATAATCCACCCTTCCCAAACAATGGCCCTTATGGTACAACCTTTAATGAGGAAACTCAACTGCACCTCAGCCCTAAAACAATGGGCTGATGAACATGTCTGTGCTTCCAAAAGGCAAGCAAAGAAAAAAAAAGAGCAAGCACAAATGCCAACAGATTTGTATCTACTTCTAAATATCAGAAAGGCAATAACTAGCTGATGATGGAGATAGCTGAAGACCAATCATGATGTTATACATATATTTTCTCTGGCAGCAAAACCTGTTGATGAGGACCTGACCTCACTATTCTTCACTGCAGTTCATTCAGCTGTGTGAATAAGACTGTTCTAAGTCCACAGACTTTAACCAAATCATTGAGTGTTAGGAGTTAAAAAACCCCACAAAACTCTGGTGGGCAGGACAGGAGAACATATCAGAAAATAGTTGAGTAACTATTCTCCCATGGAGGCAGGACTCACTATGTAAGGCTGATAATTGGTTGATTTCAATCTTGGTTTTCCCCAACTAGAAAATGAGATATTATTAATCTTCAACAGCTGTTTTCTAAATTAATTCATGAAGAATGTCATCAAAGAACAACTGTTTCCATAACAAGAAACTTAAAAACTGATGCACTAGAGAATATTTGCATTGCTACTTGAGGTACAGCTCAGCTACATAAATTAACAGAGGTGCACATTTCATCCCCTACAATGGGACAACATGTGTGCCAAAATCACAAGAGCAGCCATTTCAGATTTTTTTTAAATTAATAACTCTGACAAGGCTGAACCCAGTGAGATCATCTTGTGGCAAATCTAGAATGCCAGATTTTCAAAATATCTCCACTTGGTTTGTTGCAGTTGGCTGTTTTGTTCCCATTTCTCTCAGCTACTTCCAGACAATCTATACAGCTTCACTGACAGTGTAGACAGCCAAACCAACACCACAGGATAGTCCAGTCTGCAGTACCAGTGCAGCTAAGGCCATGAAACAGGAGAGATGAGAAAGAATTATGCTGAAAAGGTAGGTCTTCCTGCAAGATCAGCCAGCTATTTGTTATGACTGATAAGTTAAAACCAATTTCATATTCAAGGATTATGTGACACATATTTCAGACTTTGTAAGTTAATTTCTTTCTAATTTGTTGTGGAAGATTGTTCTTAATGTGCACTATCCATAGTCAGAGGACAACAGTTAGAGGACATTTTCTTTAACAATCTAATTAACTCATATAGAAATATTTTAATACTCAGTACTGACCTTAAGCTCAGTGTTCTGCCTTTTCAGAGCTTCCACGGTGTAGGAAATTTCTTTCCACGACTCAAGCTTAGCTTTCGCTTGTTCAAGAACCTGCTCAGCTTCTTGTTTAGCTTCCAGCCACTGTGTTGAATCCTTTAACATCTCCTGAAGTTGTTGCCTCCGGCTTTGGAGATATCCATGCACCTCATCCCACTGGCTCTGTATCTTTTCAACTGGTGAAACACAAAGGAAAAACAAAAGCTGAATCACCTAAAAGTTTGGGGTTTGTTGTTTGGTTTTGTTTGGTTTTTTTTTAAAGGGAGGGAAAAAATTAACTCAAATCTGTCTAGAACTGACCATATTGGAGAGTTCCTGTACTTTTAGGCTGCAATTGCATCTAAGATTAGTTTAACAAAAAACCCAACCCAGATAAACTGTTGTGGGTGACACAGTATGACACTACAGTACTCAGCAGGGGTTTTGATGCCTATGCAGCCAGAAATGACAGGTTCATGCTTCAGAAAGCATCATGAAACAGGAGCATATTTGAATCACAGAATCAACCAGGTTGGAAGGGACCTCAAAGATCATCGAGTCCAACCCTAGAGAAAAAATATCAGCAATAATCCTTCATTCTTACCAAACCAACACAAGGCTTAAGATTTTCTGAAGAAGAAATCCTTTAGGGACTTCAGTAATATTAAAGATTTATTGCAAGATACAATTAATGGGTATACTTTTCATTAAGACAAATGTTAGCAAACTGCAAAGGCTAAAAAAACTTTAGCATATGTTGATGTTAATTATAAAATAACAATTAGCTTTAGCCACTACTTGAAAGAAATGTGATTTGTGAAAACTTAATAATCAATAAAATGACTGACAATAAGCATTGGCTAGCATCCAGCATCAGCTCATCCACAGTAACATAAAAACACCAGGAGACCTAGTTGTCCAAGCAGTCGAAGTCTGACAAATATAAAAGAAAACCCAAAACTCCACAGACAATAAAATCTGTGCACTGCATGAAGGAATAGGCTTTTTTTTTTTCCAATTTCCTGAGGTTCTCAATAATTTCTTGAAGACAGCCTCACTACACTGAAAATTCACAGGCCTTCAAGGGAGGGGAAGAGAGATTCCTAGAATACTCAGAAAGCAACTGAAATAATCATCAAGAGGTAGTTCCAACACTGAATCTCTCACCGCAAGGCTGACTGCAGAATGGTGAGCCTAAAGATCTGAATGAGAAATGCTTCAGCAGGGAAAAGAGACTTCTACCTATCAGTGCTCTTCCTTCTTCCAGAAGAAGGGATAAAGATCTTTCCATGGACTCAGCTGAGGTTTAGAGAGAGAGAAGAAAACCTTTCAGCATCCCCTGCTGAAGCCTAGGGAGAAAAACTGTGAGTAAGCACATACAGCAGCATGTTTAAGCCAAAGGAAAAGCAAAAGGAACTGAAAAAGACAGAACTGGAAAACACAAAGCACAATCAGAGCACAGCAACGACAGCCTAAGGCCCAAATACTTAAATTTCATCTCATTTTAGGAAGCTGTATACTCATGGTACAAAGCAACTCATTTCTGTGCCCTCTCTGGGTGAGGATTTCTGATGTAAGATCTGGGATAGATTTGAAACAACAAAGCATTGTGGTCTACAGGAAGGGTGAATGACAGAAGTGAACTCCTTGAGCAGAATCTTCCTGCTGTAGCTGCAGCATGTGGCCCAGGGGCTGTGCTGAGGTTCAGGGGACAAAGACTGCCCTAACACTTCCCACAGTTGGTGCCACATGTTTGGCAGCAGCAGCAACAGCTGCCATCAGTTTCTTGGAAATCACTACTTGAGCTTCTTCCCCCTTAGACTCTGAGCCATTTGGTGTTATCTTTGGATTCCTGGCCAACTGGAGATTTTGGTACACTGCTGAAAGAGTATAACAGCTTGTTTATGTCGGCTATTCATGAAAAAATCTAGATAAAAATCCCACTTATTTTTGTTTCATTGTAAGTTTTTTTGTTGGTGTGGGTGGTTTGGGGTTTGGTGCTTTTTTTGGGGGGGGAAGAGAGGATTAAAAAATGAATGAAAACTCTGTTGCAGCTTCTAAAGAAAACTGGCTCTACAGTTATATTAATTTTTCATAATAGCTACTTTTAATAAGAAATGTTGATGTTTCTTATCACCAAAAATCAAAATATTTATAGATGTATCGGTTCCATAGTGTCTCAGGAGGTTTGTATCTAAGCCATACTAGCAGTACTCATCGAGGGACTGTGCTTTTAGCAGCAAGACTAAGTTCTGTCAGATACCACAGTTCTGGGATTCCACGATGACCAATTCTCCCACCCAAGAGAGGATTGAGGCTGCATAATGAGAGCTGAATTCAGAACATCTCAGGAGCCCATTTACACAAGTGACTATGAATACACAAGCTCAAAATTGATGAAAAACAGTTCCTCATCAAAATACTTGGCTTATCTCCCTGAAAAAAAGATAAGGTGTAATACTTCTGCTTCATTACAGACTGGAATCGAAGAGTTCTGGAAGTTACTAGGTAATTTTACCCCTCCCACCCCCGGAAGAAAAAAAAGACAAGAAGATGTTTTCTTGAACCAGTGAGTGATCATTTAACACAGTACTTCAGTTACAGATAAACATATCATGACATCTACATAATTAATCTGGCATTTCTAAGCTAGAATATAGCAAAGAGTGCAGTACCATTTAAGACAAAATATGTAGAAACAATTTATTCCATTGGCCTTTATAATTATGGCAATATCATTTAGTTTAATGTAACATAAAAATCCCTTCATTAACTATTAGTTTCCTACTTCTAAATGATGCTCCCATTGGAATGTGGATTATTGATTTTTCAGTAACAAAACCCCCCAAGCCTCTAAAGCTTGAAATATGAGGTTCACTTTCAAAATGGAAACCACAGTGTAAATCAGTGTCTTTTAAGGATGCATTTTGTCCATCTTCAGTCTTCAGTAGGACATTTCCCACAGAAGGAAAGGTTTATGCCAAACAATAAAGTTCAGAAATTCCAATTTGAATGTATATTGTGCAAGAACTGTTCCCAGCAACCCACAAACCCCTCACCTGCAGCTAAGGAGTTACTAAGTGCAGATGAGAAGGGTCAGACAATTGCTATTAAATAATGTTGGGCTGTAGAACCCAATTTTTAAAGTATTCTGCACATCACAGGGGTTTTGTGCTAGGGCACTGGAACATATAAAAGACTTTCTCTGGCTCAGTACTAACGGGAACAGGTTGATCAGCCTGTTGAAGAGTGTTTTATACAGCAGCAGGAGTGCAGAGGAGTCTCAGTACAAAGTTCTTTCAGGCTAACTCTCTGACCATAGCTTTGAAAGGGATATTTCCACTGTCAGGACTCTATAAAATCCTTAAAATTACACTGAACATATGAGACTGTGCTGGTTTTGGCTGGGGTAGAGTTAATTGGCTGGGCTAGGGTGAATTTTCAGTGTCTAGTATGGGGCTGTATGGACAGTAGATGAAGAGTCAAGTGAGGATAAGTTTAAAACTTTTTTTTTTAAATTGCTGAGGTACATAAGGAGTTTCAGGAACAGTTATAACATCCACTAAGTTGCTGCCTGTAGACAGTCATTATGGAGCTGGATAGGACAGAGTATACAGTAGAGAACAGTTGGATCCAGCCTACTCAGATAGTAATTTATGCTACAGCTGTCCTTCACCTTTCCTTGTAAAGCAATATTTCTCTTCACCTGTTTCAGTGGCTTATAAAAGTGATACTTCTTAAACAATGACCTTAGAAAGTCATGGCAACACTTTAAAAAAATATATGGAGACCCACTAATAATGGGTTACCCGAGACATTTTATGGTCAGTCATGTGTTGAGCAGATTTAGACAATAAACCCCAAATTAATGGTGGGGTGGCAATGCAGAATATCTAGCCTCATATGAAATCTGCCATTTATGTCAGTACAATGCCAGATATTGCTTTTATGCACCATTAATATAATGAGGTATTTATAGAAAGATTATTCCTTATCATAGATGTATCATAAAGCATAATGACAGATTTGTTTTAAAAGCCTGTGTCTTACAAAAAAACCAGGCAAACTAGAAAGTATGTACAAATATTAAATTGTCTATAAACAAGTGAATGAATAATGCCTGGGAAGAAGAAAGTAACTGTAATCCTCTGTATTATTGGGCAGTATTATAGATTCAAAGAACAGATAAAAGGTATTACAAGGGAAACCAGGAAGAAGCAGCACTCAGACTTCAGTTGTCTGTTTGGGGTGATGAAGAGCAATGAAAATGCACCTGAAAGACACACCAAGGCATGAAAGCCCTGAGAGGAAGAGTGTTACCTTCCTTGGCTTCTCAGATGCTAGGAACAACAAGCAATAAGGGATTTCAAGAGATTTAAATGTGTTTTGTTTTTTTTTGTAAACACAGTCATAATCTCTTTTTGTAGTTTGATACTTTTGGGGGTTAAGTATTTCCAACGATTGCAAGTCTGATTTAATTTTGTTTGGTTTTGTTAGGGTAGAGCTTATTTTCTTTTATTAAGAATCACTTTCATATGATCAAACTAATGAAGGTCACTCTGTTCCTTTGGAAGTGTCAGATCAAACAGACTGAGCAGAAAACTGTCAAGTGGTTTCCACTAAGCACCAAGTGACTAATTCTTCACCACTGTTAACATGCTTTTACCTTGCTGCAGAGAGTGGGTGTTAGAGACCAGACCAAGCTGGTAGCACTTCTAAAGAAATCAGTTTCTTACCCCAAGTGAAAAACAACTTCCATGACTGAGCACTAAGAAGGGCATGCAAGAGATTATTAGCTGGAAAACAGGTCCTTCAGAAAGCATTCTACAGTTTGTCAAGTTTTTATAGAACATTTATGTATATAGTATTCATCACCTCTCAAATGAAGTTTTCATGATAATTTTTTCCCTAAATGAGAAAGGGAACAGAACATGCTATGCATGATGTGGAAGAGCATTTGCTTCGCATTTTAAAATACGATACAATCTGTAAAATTCTGATGTGAGAAATAAACACTTTCTATAGAGAGAAGTAAGATTCTTCAGAATTTAGTATGAAATAAGTACAAACCTAAGCACAGTTTTGCTAGAAATCCACATAAACAAACAAACATATGTACCTGCACGTACACAAAGTATTGACTAGGGAGAGGGACAGATTAGAGAATGGTCTTCTCATACTGCTCTGCTGCCATCAGAGCCTTAAGAAGCAGAGCAGGACACTCCTGGAGCAATGAGCTGGCACCCCCAGTCCCACTGACCCACTGGGATGCAGTCAGCAGTGATTATCCCATGATCCCAGGAGCAGGATGCATATGGACAAGCCGCTAGAAGTGAACTAAATTATCTTTGTTTCTGCAGAGATGCTCATATTTGTATGATACAAACAAATAACTTCACAATAACATCACACTCACTGAAAAAAGAGAGGGTTTCTTTGCTGGAATGATCTAATCATCTTACAAAATGTTTGTTTAATTCAATTTCCTTTGTTGTATGTAGAAAATATATACTGCATTATTGAATTTAGATACTTTCTTAAATATTCATAATGCAATTATGAAGACTTCAATTAGATTTAGAAATGATATTTAGACTGATGGAAGGTACCCAAAATGAAGCCACAGGATTAAGCCTAATCTGATTAGCTAGATGAGCAAATAGGTAGGTAATCCAATTGTTTCAGTTTAAAATTTATAGAAAAGTTTTCAAAGAACTTATCAGGAAAAAATACTTAGTTTCTGTATTTTCTTAGCAATGTAAGGATTAATTAGAAGTAACTAGATATTTTAGTATTTATCTTTGCCCAACTGTCTCTTAATGTTTTTCTAGGCTTTTGGTTACTTAAACTATTAAAAGGAAAATACTTTATAGATATATATCTAATTTCTGTCCATGGATAATAGCTTTTGTAGTAATCCACCTACCTACAAAATATTTAAGAATATATTTAATCAGAAGAAATGACTTGTCTGTGTCTGTATTTAAAAATGGGACATTAAACAAGTGAAATTATATTCTACTTTCTTTGAACATAAACAAGAATGCTATTAGCATTATTCAAGTACAGCAGCTTTCAGATACTAATGCTTTCATAGACTTACATACTTACTGATGCAAAAACATAATGGTAGGTCTGGCAGTTTAGGTCCCAAAATGTGTGAAATTCATTATCTACCTAATGAAGCATATCGGCAATGAATTTCAGGATCCTCAGCACCACAGAACTTTGTGTCGCTCTCATACATTCAAATTTACACTGCATATTTGTAATGTCATCAGCCTACTAACTCCTACTGAGTTTGGGCTGAGACTTGCTTTTCAAATATATCTGTGTTTGTTACTCTACACACTGATGAGCTTCAGGTTTGATTTAACAGATTCAGCTCTAACTGTAGAACCAAGACTTTGGGAGATCTCAAGAGCAACAAAGGACTTAGAAACTCAGCTATCAGGCTCCAAGTAACTGAAGCAAAGTTTTGCAGACTGTTGATATACCTATTTTCCTCTTTGAGAATCAAAGTCAGTCCCTCAGAAGAACCTCCACTCCCCACAAAAGCCATAAAGCTTAGATTCACTTCACAATGGAGACACAGCAATCCCTTCCTTGTGTTATCTGCTATTAAATACTATATGATCTGTCAGAATAACATAGTCTAAAAGCTAAACTTTTGTTTTCTATAACTCTAAAGGCCCAAATCCTTCCACTGTAATCCTTACTCCTTAACTTGCATCAGCAAGGGTGAACTGGCACTCTGTACAAGGGGCAGCCAGAAACACGTGGCTCCTGTTCGTTGGTCCTCATTCTGAGACCATCAGCTGAGCTACAGCTGCTCCCACAGCAGTCTTGGGTTTGGGATGACAAGCACAGACCATCATGGATCTTTTGCTGTGCCTCTTCTGACAGCACCAAATCTGCACTACCTACATTCCACATCAATAATCTACATTTCTATATTGACTTGTTACCAGCTTTACGTATCCATACACAGGAAATGATGGAAAATAAACAGGAATTTTCAAACTCTAATTACTTTGCAATATTCAAAGTTGCTTATAAAGTCATTCATTTTGAGAAACAACATTTTCATCAGCAGTAAAGCAAAGTGGAACTGCAATGCATTATGTAGAGAAAAATGTTTCTGTACAGCATATGGTTCTGTTAGAACAGAATGCTTCTGCATTAACAGAGCAGAGAAGTGTCTTGCTTTTTCCCTCAACTTTTCCTCAAGACTAAATATATTATTCTCATGTATTCTCTAAGTTGTAAACAAACTATGATTTACACAGAATACACAAAGCTTTCAATATAACATTATGTAAACATAACATAAGCTTTATTTTATAGAGCCAAGGTCTTTTTATGCAGTACAGCTCCTGCAGTTTCATGCAGATAGTCAACTAAGGGTGGGGAAAAAAGGTTCAAAGGAAATCAGTTGTATGAGCTTATCTTTAACTACTGGTTTATTCCCTAAAGAAAGACTAAACCTATGCAATACTATGATAATGCTGTTGAAAAATAATCTCATGAGTATAGATTTTTTTTTTTACAATTCATCATAGAGATTTTCTAACAAATGCCTTTTGATTTGTCTTTAATTTGTATAAAATATTTACATATAAACTTTTAAAAGGAAATTAGCTTTCTAAATATAAGTTATTATAAAGTTAGACTTTAACAAACATATTTCCCAATACATGTTCTGCAAGCAGAACAACTTAAGAGTTAGCAATGTTAGCACAGAAGCCAAAACCTTCAGGGTCTGATTGCAGCTGATGGCATGCTGACCCATCCTGTGATGAAGAATGCAGCTATCACCTTGTAGAGTACCTGAATCTCATTTAGTGTTTATAATATATCTGTTCAGAGATACTGGCCAGATGATTGTGTAGGAGTTTTTTTACTAGCACTTTAATAGCAAAAGGCAATGAACAACCTATTCACAGAAATCAGCTGATCTTCTCAGTTTTTCATTTCTCAAAGTGTGAGATACCGTGCTTCCTCCCAGGAAGTACACTGTATATATAT